GGGACCAGGACGCCCATAAACATCTGACTCGAACGTTGCGTTGTCCCAGATCAATCGCACAGCATGTACACTGGTCGTCGTATGGGTTGCGAAGTTTGGCTCTTTCCTTTCTTATGTCCTGCCCAAACATTTTATCACTGCATTAAATATTCATGCAGGCTGGATTATGAGTATCTTCAGAGTCTCGGGTCGCTCAAGTTAACGAGCATAAATAAGTGTCAATAACCAAGTGGGGAATGCATGCTGATCTTTCAAATAAGTCAGACGACTGAAGCGAGGGTAGTAAGAGTCCTCGCAGACTTTCCATCGTTCTGTACAGTACTCCCAGAGCAAGATGGAAGAACATGTAAGATAGGTATTATTGCCGTCCTCGAGAGAAGCAGTGATACACGTGAGAAATGAGCGGGAAGTAAGTATTTGGCAGCGTATGAGCGGAACACCTGTGACGCGTCGTGTATAACCCATTTTAACTAGAGGAGGAAAAGAAAACATAAAGAAGAAGATATCTCACAAAAGATGGAAATATTGAGCATGAGGATGCCTCAAAAAGAGGCAAATCATAAAGGGGGCCACGAAGGCGATTGGTCATAGCTTAAGCTCAGTAAGAACTCTCCGGGCGAGCATTTGGTATTGCCAACCATCGCCACCAGCCCTTCGGAACTGTATGCCGTGGAGTGGCAGCCAAGGAACCTAGGGAAACTCTGTCAGATGTTAGAGACGATGACGAGGAGGAAAATCATACCTTAATAATATTAATTTCGAAACGAACTGAAAGTGAACTAGCACCGATAGATTCGAATACTTCACGGTCGACTTCACCGGTAGGGAAAGGTGCCGGCCGGGGAGTGTGCGGCTGAGGTGTAGCAGCAAAATCACGGGGTATGGGCGGTAAGACCTTGCCTTTAACTGGTGTTTGCGAGCGGAATGGATCACGCTGTTCCTCTTGGGGTGTCCCCGGCGTGAGCACATTAGCTTCCTGATGCCGAGAATTATCCGCTGTAATGGTGTGGGTATTAGAGGAGACATTGAAAAATGAAGACGATCCGCTGCTGGGGGTGGCACTTAGTGCAGTCCCGATCGATGGCCTGTGAGGGAGCTCTTTCTCTAAAGGAGCCTCCTGCTCTTTTTCCTTCATACTCTCCCTCTCCCTCTCCCGCTCCTTAGACTTCATACCGAAAGACATCTTCGACGCTTTCTTCACAAGCGATCGAGGCGTAATTCCAGTTTCGTTGGAGCCACCAGAAGCAGTCCGGCGGTGATGACTAGAGCGTCCTTGGACCTGAGTTGATTCGGGGACAGATGAAATGTCGATGGAGGGTACATGGATGCACTCAAAGCCACACCGTGTCTCTCGATATTGAACCTGCATTCGGTCCAGAACTTTCTTGATATCAGCCTTGAGCACTGATGGTGGTTTTGTAGAAGTGGTTGCAACACTGTCGCACATCTCAGCACTGTCCAAATAACCATGCGACTCGCGCTCACCTGAACAGCCCCTTAAGATGCACCGGCTTGAAGTCCTTATCACTGTGGTGTCCACTCTGCTCATCCTTGAAGCCATCGTCCTGATCAACTGCCTCTTGCTCAACATTCTCCTCCACCTTCTCAGTTTGTCCAAAGCCACTCAAGCCAGTTGGACGTCCGCTGCTCGTCCCATAACCAGTCGATGGCCGACGATGTCGTCCGATGGTGCCACCGATACTAGGGAGCAAAGATCCACCAGTGCTACTCCGGCGCTCGTGCCGAATCTGACGACCTTGGGGATCAAGAATGGTGGCAGCTCGCCTGTGCACGTTCCCAAGAGGCTGGCTCTGGCTAGCAGTAATAGGTTGAGGCGCAATGATGGAGGATCTGCGTACATCGACATCTGCGCCCCGCTTCCAAGACGATTCAGCAGGCTTCTCGCCATCATCTCCCGATGATCGCAACGGCACAGCGCCTAACATCGTCGTCCGCTTACCAATACTCCGTTTATTATCATCACCCTTCCCAACCAGAAGCGTGCCAAACCTGCGCACGAGCGTTGCGCCAGCTGATAATGGACCGTCGTGTGTATGTGCACGATCCCCTGCGGACAGAACCTTATCCTGGTCCGTGAATTCGTCCTCCAGACCAGCCGATTGAGAGCCCTGCTCCTCGCCGTGTTCGTCCACACGACTTTCGCCACTAACAAACCCTCCACCCCATCCGCGGAGCGCAGTTGGTCGCTGGCTCATGCTGTGGCTGCGGCGGTGAGTGGACGCAGGTGGAGCACGCGGAAGTGCTGTCGCCGGCCCTGGCGTTGGCGTTGGCGGTTGGGAAATTTCGACGCGCTTCGTAGCAGGTGGAGGTAGCCCCGAGTCACGCGCTCTCACTTGCCCATGGAATGCAGCAGAGGTTGGAGAAGCCGCTGCAGATGCTGCATCGTAGGACATGTCGGAGTAATGCGACGTCTCAGGCGCAGGAAGGCGCGGGAGAGGCATGCCGTAGTCTGCTTTACCAGATGCAGAGGTGGCAGGCTGCTGTTGCTCCTTCTTGACAGGAGCAGGTTGAGTGAAGGTATTAGCCGGGTAAGGGGGTGGTGCAGAAGCGTCAGTGGCGGATGCATTGGCTGCAGTGGTCGATTGAATGGAAAGCTGGGAGCTGGCAAAGCGCCCGGGGCCGTAGACACGTTCACGCTCCAACTTCTCGCGGGAAAGGTAATACATTGTGACCAGTGGATGGAATCCCTGCGTTGGGTCAAGGGGATCGCGCGCGCCATCGCCAACTGACAGAAGCGACTGAGAGGTGGGTGGCGAGTGAGAAGGAGTGGTGGGTGGCGATGAGGAAGGGGAGAACAGCTTCCGGCGATAAAAGTCGAACCCAGAAAAACGTTTTGACTTCTTTGAAGGACTCATTGTAGAATCATTCTTGTGCGCATTCGCGGCCGACCCATCGAAGGATATAGCAAGGGAGGAATTAGAAAACTCGAGACGGTTGTTTGCGCCATTGCGGCCACCGCGCTTGCGGTCCCAAGCCTGGACCGCGCGGGCATAAGCGTCAGATTCGAGCACCTTTCGGAGGTTCCGTTCGATTTCCTCATCAGTCCCAAATTCGAAGCCTTTCATGCCTTTGATGACCTGTTTATCAAGGTCATCAGGTCGGAGCGGGTCCCGATGTATCATGTGCGAGTCAGGGGGACCGCTGAACCCACGAATCATCCATGGATGCTCAAGTACCTCGGTCAGCGAGGCACGCATAGCGGGGTTAGTGACAAGCATTCGGGAGAGTAAGTGCTTGCACTCTAGAGAATTGATCAGTGAGTATCATGCTTCACAGCACAATTCGGACGCACCTGCACTTAACCACACAGGATACTCGACCAGCCCGCGCTTAATTTTGGCATGCAGTGCTGGCATGCTCTGATCATCGAAAGGCACTTTGCCACATACGAGCACGTAGAGGACAACTCCAAAACTCCATACATCAACCTCTGGTCCAATGTAGACCTTCGCATTAAGGAGTTCGGGAGCCGCAAAGTATAGGGAACCACAAAAGGTCGACAGAGTGGAACAAGGGTCGTAGAGATTAGACAGGCCAAAGTCGATTATCTTGATGTTTCCTGTTTCAGATATGAGAATGTTCTCGATTTTGAGATCTGCAACATAGACAATGAGAATATGAGACAATACAGATCCAGCAGCAACAGACCTCGATGGACCACATTGTTTCGATGGCAGTAATCTAGCGCACTTCCTATCTGACGAGCGAACTTGCGGGCGACACGTTCCCGCAACCGACCGTGACTGATAATATAGTCGAGCATCTGGCCACCGTTCACGTATTCGAATACCATGTAATAATGATGTTGATGGACGATCATCTCGCGCATGCCGCAGATGTACGGGTGATGGAGAAGCATAGAGAGAGCAGCTTCACGAAGAGTGCGTATCTCTTTTGAAGCATCTTTTGAGGCCTGCTTTGCGACTGCTTCTGGAGTTGCATTTGAACCATTCGGCTGGGAAGCCTGCGGATACACTCGAGGGAGGATTTTGACAGCGAGCTACGAACAAGAACCGGGGTGTTCGAAGATAATTCATCTCTGATATGAACGCAGCACACACCTTTTCTTCCGTGATATTATGAATAGCCAACTTGACCTTCCCCATGCTACCAGCTCCGAGTGTCTTGGTCAAGGTGTAGTCACCAAGGATGCGGTGTGAGCTTCGACCCTGTTTGCTGGTTGAACCATCTCTGATCTGACGGTGTTTTGAGTCTGTAGTCTGCTGTCTTTCGCGGTCTGAAGAACTTGACATTGGAGTTGTGGTACCAAATGCCTGCGGAGGCATTGAGACTGGGCGGGGCCTGTGAGACGTAGCTTGCGACCTTGGAGAGGGTAAAGGGCGTGGAGTAGTAGTATTTTGCTTCGTGGTCGCCGTCGTGACGGTTGCTTTAGTTGTTGTTAACGGCGTTAAAGTATGTGACCTTGCTGGTGGAGGTGATGAAAGAAGCTGTGGCTGATGAGCCGAGGGCGGTTGCTTGATGGCCATATCAGACTCATAACCTCCTGCGTGTGACGGCGTAATCAAACCAGTTTCTTCAGGCACCTGTCCTAGTGGCCCTGCCATAGATGATGGGTAGAACGCTGCCATGGAGGTCTTTAACGCCAACCTATCGTTTTCAAAGGCGGTGCTCACGATTCAGGCTAGTTAGTAGAACCGCCTCCGAATCAACGTTTTGAAATCACTCAGGGCGCGGTCAAGCGTCTATGTTCGCAAACGGAGATTTGCTCCCAGTTGAACAAATGCTCCTGATTTTCTCATGTATGTCTCATCGTGTCTCATCACTACTTAAGGTTCTAGTGCCAAAAATCCCCCAAGTTCCACTCGGGGAAACAATCCCAATGGTCAAAGGCCTTTGCTGGCTGTTCGAACTGAATGGTAGCGATGCCAACCACCACTACCCCGATACACGCATGAATGCATGCGAGGAAGGAAGAATAAAAATTGCTACACAAGCTTACCTAGTACTCTCAGGCTGTCGAAGCGCACAAATAGCACATTAATAATATTTACTCACTCTTTGCAATAATAGATTATCAGAAGCAAGAAAAGTCCTGCTTCCCGCGTCTGCCGCAGGAGGTAAGAATATCAAAATAAACACGGAATGTTACTTCTGACTCTGTTCTTGTACAGATTCGGATAACCATGTCACTGGATGACGATTGAACATGGGCCAAGGAGGTAGGACAACCTATAGAAAAGGTGTGAATTGACTAGGTACATGGACGTCTCGCGAAGCAAACTCACCAGAGACAGCGCTACAGTACAGAGCACGAACGTACTCATTGTTATCATGAGAGAGCTGAAGGCAAACCCAATGACAAAAGAGAGGAACTGCCAGAAGAGATCCAATTGGCTAAACGCAGCGGCAGCGAAGGGCACGTACTGTGCTAGTGATGAGTACCACGCGAACAATGTCATCCGCAGTCTTTTGCCCTTTGAAGTCCTGTATTTTTATATGGTCAGCTCCAATCCAAAGAATCAAAAAAGTACCCCACTATTCTGCCTTCCACCAGCTCCTGTATGGTCATGACTGTTGTCTAGAAAGCTCATATGATAATTGTTCATGGATGTTAGCGTTAGCAATTGACACGACACTTAGATTCGTGTGAAAATGTTGCCTATCTCGACAGGACCCCATGAACCCGACAGCTTAAAGAATTACCCCTGCTGCCTATACTGATCAAAGCAGCATGCTGATTTTTTATCCATCTAGTAGGATACTACTTGAGGCCGTTCAAGTCAGGTAGTAAGGCCTAAATCCATTGCATCAAGGCTTAACCAGGCCTTCTGACATAATATGCTACAGTAATAACAGCACCCAGGCCTGCGTGAGTTGTCACGACCGTTCGAGATTACTATTTACCTCATATCAAACAGCGCATCGCACTATTAGCAGCAAGTATGCTTATATAGATGCAAAGGGGAATTCTAATCTGGCGTGGTACATACTTGGTACTCTATCTCAACACAGATCGCCGTCTATTGAATACTGTACAAAACAAAAGAGATTCCAATCCGTCAGACTTGGACAAAACAATGCTCCTTTTTACTTGGGAGACTCACTCTGCCCCGACTTCAAATTATGATCATCGTCAGACTTTCCGCGTCCTAGTCTGCGCATGTTTTTTGCCGATGATGCCCAGGTCTCTCAACCCAACGATAACGACGACAATGCTCAAAAGTGTCGATGCGAAACAAGTCCACCCAGCTGCTCGGAAACCGACCATCAAGACTTCTGGCGACTGAGAATCAAGTTCCGGATGTTTGTTGTTGTATGCTTTGGACACAGAGTCTGCAATTTCAGATGTTACTGCAAGTCCGAGTGCTGTAGCAAGCTGTTCACAAAAAGCTCAGCGAAATAAAATGAGAGGGGGAAATTGAACCTCGTACTCTTGTGGCAACGCTGAAAATGCCACCCGCAAGGGATTGCGAGTCTTCATCTAGCGATACAGTGATTTGCTGGTTCCCCAACGAATATACGATATCCACCCCAGCTGCAGAAATATCAGCCTCTCTTCACTGAGAGAAGAAATAACGCACCAATGGTGATCATCATAAAAAACGCCATGTGCCAGAAGCTAAGACTGGGGTTTATCAAAGCGAAGATTACGCTTGATGCCTTCCCAAGATTGAATATTTATTCTCAGCTGAGGTTGAGTCGCTTACTGAGCTGACGAGCAAACCGATCAACATCAAAATATGTGCAGGGACGCGCGCCACATAATATCCCGCTGCGATGCTAGGAACGGCTCCAGCGATAGCCATAGGTATGAACCGAAGAGAGGTTTGCAATGGATTCAGCAATTGTACCTGTTGGAAGCTGAAGACCATTAGTGGTCAACAGAGATCAATTGATTAAAATAGACCAGCATACTATAGCGTGAAGAAATAATTTAGAGCATCGAAGCTAAACCTGCCAGGAACATGAATGACTGAGACCAATCCCTCAGGAATTCACGCACCAACCAAAAAATATCACGCCAACGAGGGGACCCAATTTTACTCCAGGCCGCCTCCATATTTTCAGAGGTATGAGAACCGACATGTTCCTTGATTCCCTCCAGTGCTCCCAGAAGACAAATGCGACCAGCAAAATGATGGACACAAGGAATAGGCTAAGGACCTGGGGTGCCAACCAACCCTTTTGAGCAGTTGTGGAGTCACTCGAATCCAGTTTAGTAATTCCTACTGCAAGATGCAGGGTATGTCCTTACGATAGACTGAATATCAGAAGGCCAAGGCCAGCTGTGCTTAGCGCAGCACCACCCCAGTCTAAACCTTTGTTGTAACGCCGATTGGAGTGATCTTTTGGAAATACCACGAGAGCTAGACAAACGAAGAAAACAGCAAGACCCGCTTGAATGCAGAACAACGAACGCCATGTGGCGCGACTTTCAGTCAAAAGACCGCCTTAGAAGTTGAATGAATTGTCCACCGGAAATGTTGCTAGACAAACTTACTAGAAATAAGGCCTAGAATGAATCCCACAGGTGATCCAACACCTATTGCGCTGAAAGCCTTGTTCCTGCTTGTTCCTGGTGGGAAGTACGACGAACATAATCCAATCGCAGCGGGGGTGTTGGCAGCAGATCCTATCCCCAAGAGCGCCATATCTATGATGAAAACATCTGAACTTGGAACGAAGGCCGTTGCAAGACTCCTGGCGTGATTTTCTCGAGTTAAAATTTTGAGCACTCAAATTTGACCACTGACCAGATCGCGAACCATAGAGACCCAGCGAGGAACATGAAGCGGCCTCCGAATATATCCCCCAGTCTTCCACAGAATAGAAGCAAGCCACCAAATGACAAACTATTTAACAATGTCAGTGACTAGTAGTTGGTCACGAGTATTGTAGAGACGTACGAATTCACATTGACCGGCCAGTAGAGGTTACCCTAGACACATGCATGTTGTGTTTCGGAGTAGTATGGGTGGAGTAGCAAACAAACCTCTTGGAAATTAAGGTCTCTTCCAATAGTGGGAAGCGCGACTGTGACAGCGCCGAGGAGGAAAACCTTCATTCCATATCGGGTGCACGAATTATTGAAATTCCAAAAGAAAAAAACATGCTTACATTCAGGGTCGTAACACCACAAAGGACGGTGATGAATGCAATATCCCGTGCACTTAAGCCCATGATCTGGCACCCAAAGTCAAGTTGTGGAGAATGACTGTGGAATTAGAATTTTGTTCAGGATTTACAGCGATAGGTAGATATTTATGCACAATGCGAAGGTACGTCAGCTTTTACTGTCAGCCTTTAGTAAGTTGCATACCCTACCTGCTGCATGGATTTTCTGTGACACTAGGAGGATATCGGGATCACCGGGATCTGCGCCGGTAGGTGGTCTGTTTCACTTGCTGAACTGTTGGAGATATGGTGTGAATGAAGGGAAGGTACTTCTGTGTCATTGTCTTTTTCAGACTAACCAGGTAACGGCACTCGGCAGCACCAAGTCCTGTTTGGATAACTCTCCTTCAAGACTACACATAGTCTCGCATAGTGACTCGCATGTCTTGAGGGAAATCACCACAGTAGGGCGCTTTCTGGTATATTGCATATACTTAATGATGGGGATGATAATCCTAGTGAAATAAAAATGACAGTCAGCTCCCGGCACGACGACATTAGGTGCCTCCTTCTGCAAGCTATTTATTCTCCAAACAGGTACAAGCTGCCGATTGCAGTTACTCGATCACAATATTTTATGGGCGGGCAAAATGAATGACTGCTCCTTGGCATATCAATCCCCGGGATGCGAAACATACAATAGCGGCCGTGCTGCGCAAGCATCGGAAATATGCTTTGTTTCGTCCTATGACTTGAAAGACATCATGATAATCAGATTATCTGTATACAAAATGCGAGGAGCGGCCCCCTTCGAATTACCCTTCTACAGCATCTGGTAATCAATCTTGTTCAGCTCAGGGTTTTGTGGTTGGTCACGGCGCTTCGAGGTATCGTCACCCGCAGCTGCATCAATTCGTCATGTACATCCGCGAGCACAGCATAGTAAATCTCACCTTATCACGATACAAACGTGGTATCCACGAACAGAAGCTATTCCAAATGGAAATTTCGAAAGGCAGGATAAGGATATCCATGCTATCATTGAATATTGAAGCTTGAAGAACGACTCCTTCTAATTTGGGTTCGTTCAGGCAGTGGCACGCTAATCCGCTGACGTCGAGTCTGTGCAAAATTGAAAATAATGCTAGAGATGGTGATTGCATTCATACTACTGTTCTCCGGGTTTATTGAAAGTCAATGATGACAATGAGCTGTCTTCATCGCGGTAAATATTCTTGTTGAGGTCTGTTGAGATAGTACGTAAGCAGTATTATGTACATGGTCTTGACTGATCAAATTGCCCCCATCGTGCGGCGGCGGCGGCAGACCACCTGGTAATGAAACACTTTGAAAGCTTTGAAGTTTTCCTGCACATATCTAAAGCTACGTCCCGACTAAGGAGCTAAAAATAGTGCCTTCGCGAGTCGTTGCTGAGCGCTGAGTGTTGTCACTCGCCTACCCGGTTTTTCGGAATCTCCACATATCCTAGATCTGTATCACCTTCAAGTCCAAGTTGTGGGTTGCTCGTACGTACGTTGTTGCACACTGCTTACTTGCACACCGAGTATTGATTCCCCGCTAGCTGCGAGTACAGAGTCATTACCAGGCCCCCGGGCTTATCGCTGGCAGGTGATGTGTACCCGGGTATGGTCCGTCTGATGGCAACTCACTATAGCGCTAAGCGGCTCACACAGAATGCGAGCGTCACGGTTAGCCTGCTTCGTCAAGAAGTTCAACGTTCAACCCTGGGGTTCAATGACCTCAATTGTACCTACAGCTGCATGCAGCAGCCTATTGAAGTATCTGCCCCAAGACCTATCCCAGGAAAACAAGACGTACCCGTCTTGACTCTCGATACGAGTAAATTTTTTCACTCAAGTGATACTTGTCCGAGAATGGGGCTGATACTTAGTAGGACATGCAACTTCAAGCAGAGCGTTGCCACCTACGAACCTTTTCACTTGGGCTTAGTGACGGCGTGGGCATGCACCTGCTTTCAAGTGGACTCAGCTGTAGTACATAATCACTTCGGCTTACTTATCCTACAAGTGAGTTGCCTCCCATCTCCCACCTGTTCGATAATGTGCGTTCTCGGCTGCGACTAACATCGCAACAATTGGTTGTATATAAAATGGATGTCTAAGTTCAGGCTTCATGCTTCAAGTTGGTACCAACGCTTTCCGTGTATCTTACCGAAAACGTTTCGTGCAGAGTCTATTCCACTTCGGCGCATTTTCTATAACCATTGCCGTCGCGGCAGTTACATTGCATTCCCTCTTCCTCAAGCCAATGTGGATCCTATGATTCACAAGTTGTTTGGAACCATCCTTACTCTTTATCTGACAGGCCTTCGTACCAACCCGTCGTCTCTATGCCATAGCTGCTGTTGGAATTGTGGTCGTGTATTTGAATGATTAGTGCTTGTAAATGCTTTGCTGGTCCTGTTAAGCAAACAACTGCTCAGTCCTCGCACTTTGTTCGTTTCCTGAAAAAAATCTCGCTGTCACAAGTTGAATAAATAGTTGTATCCACATAACAGCAGTGCGAGTAGATATCCTCTTTCCGATGCTCAAGAATACAGTTAGTCCATGGTCGGTGCTAATGATGTAAAGTCATTGTCGCCAGTGCTTTGTCTCCCTCTTCAGTGTCAGTTACCATCAACTGGCATGAACTGCCAAGCCTGGTTATCATAGAAGCTGATGGGAGGGGAGAGGATGATCTACCCCCTTGAGTACGTGCAATTTGTCAAGTTCATCAGATGAACTTACCTCAGTGTAGTTATTTCCGTCAGGCAGCTCCCAAACGAGCTCAGAGTTATGTGTCTGAATCCTGAAGGTGTTGTTTGAGCCGAAGAAGACACGACAAAGAAACAGAACTCGCTCATATTCCCCATCTTTCCTCTCGTGGAGTCTGAAAGTGGTTTCGATGGAGGATCCTATAACCCCAGAGCCCTTGATTTCCCCGTTGTCAAACACAGCTTGCTAAGTTGCTGGACGCACTCACATTGATTTCGCCAGAGACTCCAGCATAATTGTTGCCCGCGAGGTTGATGAATTGCACTAGACCCTGCTCTTCATCGACAACCTGCAGATTCCACTGCAGAGTCGAGTTCAGTGAGATCAGACACGCATATTTTCAATATCTGCACCAACCAGCATGTTCTGAGTGGATTCGTTGTAGATGTAACCGACGACAGGAGCACCGTCAGTGACATTGGCCCAGTGCAAATCGACATCTAGGGTGGAATATTGGATGTTGTAGATCACGTATGTGCCCGGAACTGGGATAGTCATGGTTGTGATGATGGTTTAGTAGGTGTAAGGGTTGGATGCGTTTCAACAAGAGCTCACTCGCTTGCGTCTTTTATACTTGTGTGTCAAGTTCATTCCGTCAGTCACTTTACTAGAGCCCGAAGAATCCGAGTAATACCATCGTAAGCGCTGCTTCCTCCGTGTCGCATACACTGAGCAGACCCTTTCACATTTCAAGTTGCGACTAGAGGAGGAATCCATGAAGCGAGTATTGCTTTCCTGTGATCGAGAAGCTTCTGATTTAGCAGACTACAGGCAGTCTGCGGTCCTTGGAAGATTGAGACAAGGTACGAGAATGAATGTATTCGGTCTATTCCCTGTCCTGAGTGTGATGATGGTCTGATGAGTAGTTTTGATCCGTGGTGAAGTGTATGAGAGATCATTGACTGACTTTGTTAGGTTTCTTTGGACCGGGAGATTCTCCCGTAGAACGCAAGGGCTTCTTCACCTTACGCTTTCGAGACTGTCAGGTTCACGATATCATGATACAGACCCTTCCTCAATTGTATGCTCTCAGTCCCAAACAAGCGCCTTTGTACGTGTCTGAAGATGCAACATGAGGGGCTACGTTGCGTCTTTCACCCACTTTACGTAGGTGGACAGCCTGCGTGCATGTAGGTAGCATAAGGGTAGCGTCTTGCGGGACTGGTGGGCATGCATGATTAATACAAATTCGATCGGGGGTTAGAAGGGTTCGAAAGGGTCTGAAGAGATGGGATGTATTCTTGTTCGAATCGGGGGATTTAAGAGGATAATGACCGGGATAGCCTATTCGATGAAACACCTTGAAGGGAACTCGGAGGGAAGTATGCTCGCACTGAGTCCTCGTTCGTGCATGAAGAAGGTATTTGGTGACTACTGTAAACACAGACGGTGGGTTATGGAACTCTAAACATAGTGTATTGTTAGCACCATAGTCGAGGACGCAGTGGACATCATGATAGTGACACCAGGGAAATTTGTGACAAATCCAGGCCGGCAATACCTAGTAGATTTGAATCGTAGTCGAACTTGAACAATATTGATATGTCGTACCTGTGTCATTCCACTCAATGGAGTGCAGCAGCAACACTCTCCTCGGACCATCATAGAAGATGTGGACACGTCAACTTCACCGCGTCCGCGACTCCTAGGACCCTCGGCTTTGTTTTGATGATCCTTCCCGTGAGGTTTTACAGACGAATTTCTCTTAATCCTCACATACATACCTTATAGCCGAATAGCCGGGCTCGTCGCTGTCAACGCCTGTCAACGTCGCTCTTGCACTTGTCTGTAAATTTTGCATTCCGTGGAGGCCTCACCGCGCTGATTCAGGCAATTTCTTCTTAGATGTCCCGCTTTCGAACGGATATTTTTCGGACTCCGATCTTGCATCTGTCTCTCTAACCGGTCCTCGTATTCTTCACGACGAGCACTCATGAGCACAAAGGCAAGGCGCACAACAGGAAGCTGCGCAAGAGCGCGTCGATGCTATTGTTCCCTTAGAGAATTCACCAGACAACTACCAGCACGGTGCAAAGTTGCCCGCCACAAAGTACACCAACAGGATCTCGGGATCACGCCGATGAAAGAAGAGAAAGAAGCTGGAACGAGCCCCAGCAAGATGATCTGAAAGTCAATTTGTACTATTTCTACCGCCAAAATAATGTGCGAACGACAAACCAAGGAGTCGGGGATGGGTGCTTGCGCACACCGTTACTGATATAAATGTTTGCCTCTGAATCTGATTAAACACCCTGCAACCCCCGAAAATGTACCTTTTGCATCTGCCCTGCATTTCTCATCTGGACATTCAATTCGACGGCTGGTCAAAAACTAGGCCCATGCAGAGTCAGGTCCCGCTGGGATATTAATGGCCGTCATGTTCCCTTTCAGGCGGGTCACTTCCGAATTTCTGATATGATCACGGTGTCGAAGATCGGATGCGCTGCTATGTATACACTTTTGCCATGATCAGGCTCTAGGCTTACCAAATGTTCAAGGTTCGAGGTTCTTCTCAAATTATGGATGATTGCACACGCTCACTGAAGTGTAGATTCTTGACCTGGGCGACTCTTCATCTATGAATTCAACCTCGCACCCGATATAACTCCGCTGGTGCTCACCTTGCAAGTAAATAGTACATAAATAATCACGACTGACGGAGAAAGAATGTTCGACAGTGGGCATCTGGCTTGTTTGCGCCGCTGGCTCCTCGGCCATCCGAACCGTACCAGTCTCTTCATCCCTCAAATTTCATTCCCTAGCTGATCTTGCGTAGGGTTAATAACTTGAAGGGGACCTAGGCTCATCGCACCATCCCATTGCAACAGATATGACACTGACGTGTTCAGGAGACTACGGTTGAATGTGCGCTGCCGAGGGCGAAATTTTTATGTAAAGCTGTTCAACGCGTACTCGGTACTCGGACACTCATCCACCTCCGACTAGCGTTGGACTCTCTCAGGAAAAGTGAAAGTCCAAGACTCCAGGATCTGGTCGGGGTAGTCTTTGAGTGACGACAACTTTCAAATCCAATCTGAGCAGTCTGTGGAAGACAAATACGGTGGAGTCTAATCTTGCGGCTGGCGTTATGGCGGAAACTTTAACAAGTTTCAGGGGAAGTGCGAGTAACAGTGCGCCCAAGCTCCAGCTGGTCCATGTCATGTCGAGGGGATGGCCTACATAACTAGCAGGTGAAGTTGGGATGCATCAGAAAAGGGGCAGAATGGCCAGTCAAGTTGAGCGTTGATGTACTACCCGCAGTGCCGCGTGCATCCGAGTCAATCTGAAGAGCGATTCTGGTCTGTCAACGAGGTCCAGTTTTTTTGGTGCGAACATTCATCTTCTGCCGTATCACTGAGGGTAGTGGTTGTCTACGCAAGATGGATTAGGATCGTGAGCGGCATGGTCTGACCGTCTGTGCTGCACATTGTATTATCAATGAGGTTTTTCTTCGGGCGTCCGCGGCGACACCAAGAAAGCGCACCTGATGATGAAGGCGGTAATGATGAAGGCTAATGTTGACGACTTCAAGTTGCGGGGCCGTCGTTAACGTAGTGGCTATCGTTGATTTTACACTAATTCAAATTGCGTTTTTTCACCACCTGTCACAGCCTGCCACGCGTCTTTCGGCCAGCACTAGATTTTAACACATGACCATGGTAATTTTTGATAGCACACCCGATGAATTCCCGAGTGCCATTCTAGGTGATGAGTCTTGTGCAATTTACTCTGAAGGTGTGCGAATATTAGGCTGAATGCTTTGCCTCTGAACATTATCTGATCTTGACGCCGATCAAACGCCGATGAGTCTAAAGCAATGAGCACTTGATGAGCACTCTGAGTCTTGACGGCATGAAAGGACTCAGGCCCAGGGACGTCCAACTGTTCAACGTCAAGATCGGCGGACCTTCTATATTTGGACTCAACTTATTCATTATATTTACGGATGCAAAACTTACTCAGCTCCTTCATCCTCCGAGGTTCCAAAGCTAACCGGTCGCTAACCTTTCGTCGCTCCTTTGGATTCAAACTATGGCAGATGTTACTGTGCTCGTTTCACCGACTCCACTCTATCCAAGACCTCAGTCTGCGCTTGGTTTCAGCCTGAATCTTGCTCGTCGCAGCCAGCCTGAATTAGCATCTCCAGTAATGGTTACTCTTGAGACAGCAGATCCCTCGACAGCACCTTCTTCGCCCGTCGAAGTGCGGACATTCGACGAAGCCTTACTTTTACCGCCAAAGCGTTCATTCAGAGGGCACAGAAACCAGTCAAGTAGTTCCCGTTCGCAGTCTGCCCCACCCGAACAGGTTTCTTTCTCTGAACCTGTCAAGGCTCCCACACGACACGTATTCTCTACGTTTCCAACTACATCTACATACACTCGTGAGCTTCCGCGACCAGCACCTCCTCTCTGTGAGTCTTCTTCTGTATACTTGTTTTCTGGCACTAATCTTTATTACACAGTCCGCCCAAGGACTTTTTGGCGCAAGACAAAGCGTTCAGGTGTCACAGGCGCATCCTATTCTCCCGCTTCCCATTTAGTTCGACGGTCCACCTTCATTGCCGCTGGCCTTTCCCTTGACGCACCTGCCGCTGACCTCAGTGCCCTTGGTGTAGAAAGCCGCGTCTCGGTGCTTGTCCTCGGCCCGGATCATATATTGCAGCTCTATCCCAGCATTGGCTGGTGAGCGTGCATAATGACAAGTGAACATACCCTACAATCGAGCGGAAGTGGGACTTTGACCCATTGGAATATCAATTATGCATACGCATATGGACGTCAGGATAACGGTCTTACCTCATCGTCGTATCCCGCTTCCTCTACACCTCTGGATTCAACTCCTTCAGACAGTCCTACCGATGTCGTTGCCCCCGCTTCAACCGAGACAGGCGCAAACATAGCTACCATCATTTCTATCACCTCCCTCCCTCCTCTAAATACCACTCTGCCTCACGATGTCACAAAACTTCCCTACCACCAGCATCTTGATGTCATCTTTCTAGCGCCGCTCTTTGCAGTGTTAGGTATTCTACTTGGAGTTGGTGCCGTGAGTCTATGGTGGAAGCTCAGACTCCTTGGCGATGCGGGTTCGGGCGTGTGTGGACTAGGTGGCAGAAAGACCGGTAACAGGAGGAGGATCAGTCTTGAACCTGGTCCAGCTTATACACCTGCGCCTCCTGATGAGGGCGACGGCGGTATCGATGCGGAAGGCTCCGGACCATACTCGACTCGCAACAGGAGCACAGAGGAAGTTACGCTCTTTGCAGCGGGCACACCCAGTAAAACTACGATACACGGCACACGATACCTCCTCCCCACGCACATGCGTGATCAAGTCACTATCGGTGGTACTGTGACCAAACCTTTCTGCACACCATTCCTTATAGGTGCCAGTCAGTTCAACTCAGCTGAGACTGCGGGCTCTGATCATGGTGACCCATTCACGGAAACGCATAGTGCTTCTCCTCGCGTATATGATGCAGAAAGGGCAGAAGCAGGCCAGTCTCGACGCAGCATGTTTCAGAGAATCTTAAATCGCTCGACCTTGGCTGATGGCAGACAATATGATGCGGTCAGGACGCACGATTTCTCCCCAAGTAACCACCCCCGCCTCAACTCAATCCCCACTTTAGCTATAAACATCAACCCTTTAAATACTATGAACAGTATGGCTCCCCATGGTGGAAGGAGCAGCGCGGTGGATGTTCCACTGCGATTGTTTGAGGGTGGTGCAGGAGGGGAGGTGCAACGGCCTGTGAGGGCGTGGTTAGAAACCCCCGAAGGGGCAGTTCAGACTCCTGGGGGCACGAGATATGGGAGCGGCGGGTCTTCCAAATACAAGGCCACTGGTGACCAGCATACTGATTATAAACCAATGTCAGAAACTCCACAGACCCCCGTCTCGAAAGTCAGTCAGTTCTGGACGCCTCGTTGGAAAAACAAAGCTGTGCCACCGCTCTCATCTCAATCCCCGGCTAAACCTTCTCCATCTCCACCGTGCATTGTACTATCTCCTTCACAATCTCCATCACCGATGCCGCGATGTGCTGTACCCACTTCGACGCGTGAAGTATCATCCAAAGAACGCAAGCAGCAGGACCTCCTTGAGACAAGAATGGAACCCAAGTCCAAATCGCTGGAGCGAAACACTTCGATTCCGCAAATCGACTCTTCCGTTCTCCCACGTAGCCCCCCGCTCTTGATGTCTCCCCCCCTCGAAGCCGCACTGCTCTTCACATCTACCTCATGTGGCGCGCTCAGTTTCGCCACGCTTGCGAATTTAAGCCCGAAGTTGGGCTCATGTTCTCCACCAATGTCCAAAGCAAAGGTCTTTGCAGGGCCTTATGACGGCCCCTTCAACTCAAAGTCCAAGACGAAGGCTGACCTGGGATCGCCCCAAGTTCTGAATGCTAATCAGAGTGCACGTGTTACTTCCCCTGACATTTCACTCTTCCCGCTCCCTTCTTCCTCTGCAAAAAAACTTAAGAAGCGCAAGAGTCAAAGTAGATCCAGGAAAGGGAAGCGGCAGGAGACGAGTAGAAGGACTGAGGCTTCACCGATGCTGCCGTTCCCCTCATATCCTGACCATCTCGTAAATGCGGGACAAAAGGCATCTGTTTCAGCGACTCTCACCTCGAGCACCTCGCAACCCACGATCTCGCCCACGCCCACTATGCTCGCAATTCTTGCTGCGACCCAGAGCTTGGAGCGCGTGAATGAGATCTTGATGAGAGGCTATAGTGAACGGGCACTTGGCGGTGGGGATATTGACGGCGAGGAGAGGATGTTGAGAGGGGGTGCTGTCGTTGCGGGTATTGAGGAGAGCTCAGAACATGGACGATATATGTAGGATGTATGAATTGTATCTACTTTTGCGTTTTTTGTTCAACCTCTTGTTAACTTGGCATCTAGCAGCTCGTATGACGACCTGTAGAAAGGTGAGTGATTTTTGTATGCCAAGTATCACTGGTGGCATTTGACGAAGTGAGGAAGATCACAGTATCTAGCTATGCAAGTCTTGCAGAGGCCAAACCGAGTGTTGACAGGACACTGAAGGCACGAGGCTTGGCGCCGCAAGCGTCCGCTTATTCTCCAAACAATCGCATTGACTCTGTGCGATTTTCCTTTCAATCGATCATCCCCGAACGAGTCATAATCGAATGATAGACAATTAATATCACGCATATGTAGTGTTCATCGGGGAACTATTTCATACAGATTTTGTGCTAATTCTGGTGGTCATCATAGTAAGTACAGATGGGTTATCTGTTGAACTAACCTCAATCAGTTTCTTGGTCTACCGAATAATCTCGTATTCATCGGTTTTAATTCTTTCGGCGAGAACAGACGGGCTCGAGGCAGTGTGGAGTTGAGCGCGCCTCAAAGCTCGCCCAAAGTTATTCCCTTTGATCTCATAACGATTTCTGCATGAGCGTGCCTCATAGTATATAATCGTGCTATAAGCTCCACAGAAACACCTAAAATCATTACCGTTGTTCTAAACTTTGATGCCCTTTGAGCAACCCACTCCATTGGTGGATAGCCACAAGCATGGTCTGTCGTACGCCGCAAAAGTGCTCGCCAGCTGTGTTGCAAGGCAGGTTACCACCAGGTTGTCGGACGCTAACTGTACATCTAGCTGCGGCCTGGATACAGTGTCAGCATTGTACGTGGTGATCTTGAGTCTCATGCTAGGCATCCTGATTGGTCGTGTCCTGGTTGACATCATATGCAATTTTGCAACCTGGAATGTACGTCAATTGGTGTCCAGTCACTCGTTCTCATTGGCGCCTACCTGATCCTTCTTGACTATCCTGCCACAAAAACGCAACTTGACTTACCCCTGCACGTGTAGAATCGACTTATGAACAACCTAGCATTCTAAACTGAAGTTGTGCCATTACCAAATGTATATTCATGAATGTAACGTGGGTGAACTTGCATGTTCGCAACTTTTTATCTGAAGTGTTGTGTCACCTGGTCTTCAGGACCACGCAGCGGTTCATATTGATAGGATGCGAGGAACATGCACTCTCCCCTATTAGGTCCATTCAAAAGATATGGTTGTCTTCAGATGAGAACCAGTTAACACTGAGCAAGCTACAATTGATATACCATCTCTCATTTTAGACGGGAACTGAGAACGAGCTGAACAATGCAACATGCAATGTCATCAAATGATACCTTAGTGGCAACAACGCTAGATCTGTAGTTGAGTCAAAAAGAGCGCGTAAAAACCACAAGGATTCTATTATAGTACACATGCATCCAGAAAACAAGCGATTAGATAAGAGTTTTAGATATGTAGATGTACAGGGAAGGTAAGGTTGCGACGATGCGGGACCTAGTACAATTGATGATTTGCACAAAAAATAAAACATACGGCTATAACTCACCTGTTAGAATCTGTGGTCAAGTTCGCTGGTAATGGCGGTATTTTAATTCATCGGTATCAAGTTCCTCCACGAGCCTAGCCACAGGGCCCGTACGTGCTTTCGTTGTAATCATTTTGGTAGGGTTCGGGGTCAAAATCCTCGCGTTTCTCCACGTTTGGTAGAAGGTCTGCGCGTTTACCTAGCAGCAAGTCACACCTCCGCATGGTGATGAAAGATTTGAATACTCACAGGCACGTTTCGCGATGGCTGCTTGCATAGGGAGCGCTGTGGCAAGAACCACGATATATGCGAGTGCGCTGAGGACAAGAGAAAGCTTCATGTTTGAGTTGAGAGGAGCGCCTGCATTGGAATCTTTTATGCCTTTTCGCAGGTTGATTCATACCTGAATGGGCGGAACTTTGATGAAAGTGTCCTCATGCAATCCGCAGCATATACCAGTCTTTGTTTGGTACCTCGGAGAGGCACGAAATCAATGTGGCAAGCAAGATGATTTCTATTCTTGCATCAGCGTTTAATGTAACGCAACCTGTGCTTGTAGCATGTAGTCAAAAATATACTTGTTTGACACTGCGCTACAGGCTTTCCACACCCTGGACCACACTCTACCGTACCGCCCTATCAATTAGACCTTCGCGCGGAAGTCACTTCCGCACACCCAACCTGTTGTTAGGTCTTTGTTGTTCTTTGAGTCGTACCTGAAGGCGGTCGGAACAGAACTTGTTTCAAGTTGCTCCCTGACCGGGACCGCCACACCCTCGTGTTGAGTTCTTCATTCCAGCAAGAGCGGTAATTAAAGCTATCACGTTCTCCGCATTTACACAAGCTTGATCCCTGCAATCAGAAACTGGTCGTTGCAATTGTTGTTGTCAAGAAGACCTTGATGCCGATATACTGCAGCAAGATCCATTGAGGGTGCTGGACCCAGAGAGAGCCTAAAATTAGCATCGTCAAATGCAGTGAATGCGATAGTGTTTATAATGGGATGATAAGAGATGCCTCGAGGACTGCGCAGTTGGACTTACGTCATATCGATTTAAATTCATAGTCCGCATCCTCGATGACTGCCGCAAGTCCCAGTAGTGATCTTATACCTACCTATCGTCAACAATCAGCAATCAGCAACCAGGGCTCGACTTTCCTTCTAGCAACGTGACCATTCGATGCCCTCAAAGAAAGATCGAAGAAACTGATCAAGCTGGACCAGCCGTTTACTAGCGGCACTTTTTCGTCAATTCATGCCAGAGGAGGCTCCTTCTGAACTCCCCCGCCTACTATTCGACAGCGACCCTAGACTGGGTGGTAGTGTGCCAATCACAAATCGGTATTTGTGTGGTGGATGATAGGCCCGATAATCGCTACCTCGCGTATTCGCTCAGTCATATTGATCACTGCATTGGAATGCACTGATAGCGCCGAACATGAATTTCTTTTATTCTATTTCAGATATTCGACCTCTTCAGCCGAAGCTGTCGTATTCTCAGATCGCACTGTGGAACGAGGTAATGGCTCTAGGCCGATGAGGGAGATGGAGAGATTATTCCTGATGATTATTTTCCCCATCTCCCTCATCGAAAGAAGTTATGTACGCTCACATTTTGTCCATCTTCTGCACATTCAGTGCTCTACGTGGCCGCTCTGCTATGCCTCGTCCATCAACAAGCCCTTACTTATCAATTGTACGAGAAGCAGTGTTATCGCGGAATCTGTGTGGATGAGCCTGAGCCTGATTCTGAGGGAAAAACTTCTTCAAGAAATTCTTCTCTCAGAATCAAGAATCATGCAAAGATCACAATCCAGCTACTCATCACTGTAGAGTCGCAATGTTAGGACTGTCACCTGCAACCGTCGAGGCTGTTTGTGCGACTTATCCGCCAGAGTGGCAGAAGACGGTGGATAAGTTCACACAGGTAAAATAGTGCCGCGAAATGGAATTCCTAGCAGGCTATTCTTATCGTGGTGTTCATTCATGGATGGTAATGTTTTCTCAGAGTCGACTTCGCGGAAGGGCTATTCTTAGAAAATATGCCTTGACACTACTTTGTCTTTCGGCAGCGAGCTGTAGATGAGCGGGTTCGCCGAGTACAGGTGCGCTACTTATTCTCAACAAACATGTTTTTCGTTTGTTGATAGTTTGTCGGCAGCAAGCTGCAGATGAACAGGTTCGACGAGTACAAGTGGGTTACTTATTTTCAGCCATGTGTTTCTTTGTTGATGGTCTTTTGGCAGCGGACCGCGGACGAGGAGGGTGGAACAACTGCTGTTTGATTCAGAATGTCTTGCAGCCTTACTTGAGCTCCTTCATTCTTTGGCACATTTACCTAAATGATAGTCTCGCTTTGCAGTTCACCTCTGTAATAACTATGGTGACTCAGTTCCGCAATACTGATCTATAGATTCTAACCGTATTGACATGGGTCACAGTGAATTAGGCCGTGATGAGGATGCCTGGGATGGAATGCGGAACTCGTTTATGTAGATAAATAGATACAACACGCCAGCCAGTCATGAAATTGTGCTTGACGCAATCCCGCACAGCAATGTGATGGATGGAGGAGGGTGAGAAGTCGGTGGACGGGGATGCTTGTTGGGGATGCGGCACGGAACTCATATAAGTTGTATAAGTAGGAGGTTGCCCCGGCTCCTGCGAGTCATTCTTCATGTATCGTTCGTAGTACACCTTCAAGTTTCGCTAAATTCAAGCAACCACATCACGATTAACCGGTCAGCCCTGCTGCCAAGAATTCGATGCATACCTGGCAACAACACCTAGTCCTGCTTGTTTAGCTCTTGTAACAGATCTACTTCCACCATCCCAGCAGAACGAAGGACATCTTCTCTCGGATCATCCACCTCACTCATGAGGTCTTTCAACACGCGGAGACGGTTTGTCAGCCAGATGATCTGGAGAACGCCAGCACTATCTATGGGCATCCCATCTTTCTGCCGATATAACATGTTCCCTGACATGCAGATCGAGAGGATCAGCATGGTCAACGAAGCGGTCAATGCAACTGCCAACTGTATCTCTCAGTAAAGCTTTGTCAAGTTAACTTGCAGTTGGGGTCTTACAGGCCACGAATTGATCTGAAACATAGGTCGGCGGAATTAAATGCTCTGTACGATGAAGTACCTACGTTGAGATGCCATTTTATGACCTGCCGAGAAACGACAGTGCTGCCTTGTGTTGAATCAAAGCCACCAGCATCGGAACCGAGTTTTGCACCTGCATCGTCTTTCAAGCCTGGTACACGTGAAAATGAAACACTTTACCTGTCCACAACAACGATGCGAAGATCTTCGAGAGACTATATTCGAATTGGCGGCGACTACAGAGAACCTTCTTTGGACCAGATGGAGGCGGTGGCCTGGAGGCTTGCTCATCCAAAACTACATCTAAACCAATTTCTTTCATAAAATACCTCAGGGGCTAGGCGTCAGTTTGTTAAGATAGCCTTCAACATGTTTGACTTACAGCTCGAGGAGAGAAAGTCCGTAGCAGGTTGCTCCACCTCGAGTCATACAAACCTTTACGGGGTGCGTAGCTCCAGAGCTGAATGGAGATACAAACTTCAATGTGTTCAGTAAACGATGTTCACGATCGACGATAAAACATTTGCTAACCCATTTTCGAGAGGACAAGCTATGCTGATTTCCTGGCGACCAGACATCCCAAGTGTTGTTTCCCTTGGGTGCTGTCCATCCTTTCCAGTTCGAAGGAGGAGGTCGAACCGGGGGCGGCAAGAGGGCCAGTAATTGACCTGTTTCCATATCGACTGTCGCCGTATGGTGTTGAACATATATGTTGCAAGCTATTAAATAAGCATCAAGCACAGTCGAGATGATCGGAGCTTGAGGACTGTCTGTTGTAACTATAAGCGAGTGGGGCTAGGTGGTACCGCGAGCACATACCGAACAGCAGGTCTTGTTGATATTCCCAGTTCATGTGCTGTACAGTTGCTGATTTCAAGGAGTCATCAATGTCGATGGATGTGGGAATTATGAATACGATGGTGGACTAAAGGTAGCATAGGTCACTCAGAGAGCAAGCAAAAATTGAAATATGCGTACTCCAGGAAAAAATTCAGACATTTCGGTGACTAACAACTGATCTTGATCTACTGAAATGTAAGATACAGCTCCTGCAAGTGATGAAAGAAATACCGACAGGGGAATATCAACCGGGCCTGCCATTTCTTGGTCTGCTCCCAGCCTGAAACCAAAGGCTCGACCACATAGTCTCCGAATTGATTGGAATTCAGCTTTGGGGTATAGCTCAACTCAGAATTACGGATTAACCCACACTCCGCTTGGAAGGTAGTTGCATCTACAGTGGCGTTTCCTGTGGCGCCATCTGCTTGAACGGTGTCATATAGTGTGGCACCATCAAGTCCCGCGTTCAACGAACTAGTAAAATGACTGAGAGACGGAACAATGGCGCTAATGGTGTGCCACTGAAGCCCCATCATGTCGACATGTGCGCCAGGCCAGTGAGCAAACGTTGTTGCCGACATATTTGTGGTTGCGGTGAATGTCTGCAGTTGCAATATGGATGATGAAGCTACGTGAAGAGCGAATATGCATCCCAGATAGGTGGCGATAGACACAATCCACCACAACGATCCAGTAGTGCTTGATTGCTGCCAGAGACACTGTAATGCGGAACCAAGGCCACTCCATGCGTTAACATTGTCGTGGAGGATGGTCAATTTTTTATGCTGATTCAAGTTCCGGTAGAGTGTCAGGCGTTGCACCAGGTAAACGAGTATCGCGCAATACAGCTTTATAAGTCAAAATCAATCAAGTATAATTTGAACGATCAATTAGCCTCACCGCATAAAAGGCCTGTGTCGATGCGCCCAATACTGACATCCATGCACCATTCTCAGATGTGACAAGGCGGTGCTCGACGGCAGAAATGCTCAACGCCAGGAGAACAAGATGGAGAAGAACAAGAAATCCATGCATAAACACACACAGAAATGCTGACACCGATTTTGTTGACTTGTGCAGCTTTTGTGTGGACAGCGATGAATTCAAGATATTTGTAGTTGCTGAGATGAGAGTTGGACCTGTATTGTTACCGGGGAGGCATCGACATTGAGTGTTTGTTGGTATTCGTTCAAGTTCGTGTAAAGAAGAACTCCCAATTGGCTCCAATGGCATGGAACCATGGTTTCCGTCATGGTTTCCCTGTCGTTTCGTAGATAGCAGAGAAGAGAACATACCAAGGGTAGATAGTCAGCTTATCACCACGTAACATTGCTTTAAATGATATATGGTCCCCGTGCAAGGAATGCTAGCATCGATGACACGGCCATAATGCATACTGGTTAGAGATACGGTTCGATTTATTTCGAAGTCCGATCGATGTTTACCGTACTAGGTAGTTGCACTCCGATCAACTTTCGAACATTGAGTTTGATAGTTTGCCTTGGACAGCCTTTTGATGCATTCTTAGAATCTTACTATCGCAGCAGCGCGACGGAGAAGGATCGCGCAGGATCGTGATATCGTACTGCACAGTCTAACTTTGATATGGCTCCCATTATGTAACTACGCATATGATGGATGTCAGGACACTGGAGACACTGCAGTCATGTGGATCCTTCAATCAAAAATCTCACACCTACTCCGAGAGAGCGCGTATCATCACGCCACCTTCAAGATATTGATCGCCCGAGTCAACTGGTTTTCCAAATCCACCTACAAGATTAAGTATAGTATGTGGCTTAGACCGAAATTTTTTAAACGTCCTTGTGCTATTTTCGTCACTGACATAGTAGTATAGCCCAGAGGCAGATCAGGCATAGCTGCTGCGGTTTACCATCATTCTTCCACGAGGCCAGGATCAGCCCATGCTACTCGAATCTCGGTCTGCAAGCGAGCAAGTCGCGGCAAATCAAATTGTAACCGTCCACCATAAGGCATAGAGTACAATTGCCACCACTAGTAGTACTAGGCCGCTGATCATCTTCCAGTTGTGTAGTAGATCTCCTGGCCGCCTGTGCCCTCTGATTTGCACCATGGCAGTACAGCGATCATGCGTCTCATCTTTGTATGCAGCGACAAGCGTTGGGAATGTTACATAAGTAATTATGATTCCCATTCCAGTGTGTTGTGATGCACATTGCACAGACATAGTGGACGGTGGTACTATGACCGTGACTAATATAGTACTAGTAGGTCTCGGAGGTCAAACTCAGTGCCCGAGTTGTCGGGTGTTTCCACGATAATTCACAGAGGCAGTTATCATAACTAACTACAGCATATTTATGGCGCTGAACATCAACAATGATCTGCGAAAGATAATCTAGATCTTCCATCCTGACGCTCATCCGAGTCATGGACTGTCAGTGATCCCGGGGGCCGGAGTCCTAAGACTCAGTCCTTACATGGTGAGTTATTTTACATAAGTTCACACCTTAGATCTCCGCAAGGTTTCTTCCCCATGCATAGGTTTGATGCTCTGCACTTCCCTACATCAGAAGTGGACAAACTTCTGGCATGACCTCTTCATATGGACTTGGGGTATGTCAGTCCCGACTAGTCTCTTATAGCAGTACGTATGGGTTTGTACGATGTCCTTTCACACCCCATCAACTCTCTCCCACTGCTACCCAAAATTTTCGCAAAACCACAGCAAGATCATAGTATCCTCCCTTTGCACCCCGTAGGTACCCGCCACACGCGTTCTACGGAGCTTGAACTAGCACAAGCACATACTATGTCGCCAGGTACTCTCACACAACATGGGCGGCCCGCCATAGCGTCGACTTTTCTCTCACATAAACCATTGCAGATCACCAATTGACTTCGTCAACGGTCATTAAGCAGTGGCAGAAATCAGGGAGGCCAGTGCTTGCCATTCTATGCACTCTTTTGCACATCATTCTTGTCCTCCTCCACGTTGTTATTCTTGTACTCAACATTTCAGGTATCGAGCACCGTTTGGTCGTCCCATTGACATCTGGCAACGAAATCTGGGTCACTATACTGAGTACATCATCACAGGCATTTTATGCGGTAAGGAATAATCACATATGTACTATCCTCTTGCACTGATGAACCCTTCAGATCTATTGTACGATACTCGTTTACTTGATGCAACGGTTGACATTCCTCAAGAACATGATGCGACGCCAGACGGTAACCGCTCTTCATGACACGGTGAACGCATGGAAAGGCCTCGGTTCTGCGTTGGAGTGTCTTTGGCAGCAATCAACTATCCCTGCATCAAGGTGGAGCATACTGTCCATAACGGCCTATCTTGCATGTGTTTTTTCCCTTCACGTGGTTTCGTCGTCTATCATTCAGTTGCAAACATTCAACTCAACCGTGGATGCATCCGCTACAAAATTTTCTTACTGGCCTAGTCCAGGCGTAGATATGATGGCAATACAGTGGCACACCATTAGTGCATCGGTTCCTACGTTAGGCCGATTCGCAAATCTTCAGGGCATGGGACTCTACGGTGCCACTCTATACGATATCATTCAGTCTACCGATACACCTGGCCGCGCCATCGTCAATGCATCTTCGTTCAGAGCGAATTGCGGACTAGTTCGCAATGCCATGCTAAATTACTCTCCTGAAATTAATGCTGACAGTTTCGGATATTTTACACTCAATCCGCCAATGCCAAACCTCAGTCATACCGTGAAATTTAGAGCTAGACTTGTGCATCCTTGTATGTATCTTCTTCTATTTTATCCTGGAATAGATTCATCTAACACCTAATCTTAGATTCAGATGAGGTTGTGATAAGTCCTACCATCTCTTCGTTCTTTCCGGGAGTACATATCAATATTCCTGAAATTTGAATCTCTCGCTAAGTGACTATATTATAGCCGACTGTTGCTTTCATAGTCTCGACTGCTGTGAACTCAAGCAATTTACCTGGCGATGAAACAGTTCAGCACGTGTATTGGGAACATCCTCGCGGGCCAGGGGTCTATATAAGTAAGAGGCTTTGCTATGCATGAATGTGATCTGAGCACGATCATAGGTGATCTTCAGTCTCCCCTGATTTCTGACATGTACGATGTCCATATAGTGGCGTGCACTATTGACGTTCAACCCCGTGCTGCCACTGTTGACGTACAAACCAATCGACTACTAGATCTTTCCCCGTCCCTTGAGTTGAATGCTTCTGGTGAATGGGAGGCATGGTCAGTGCCGGAGGAAGAACCTAAATGGGATATTTGGTCACCGCCATCAGCAAGCGTATTGCATCATGAAAAATGGGCAAGTCTCTGCCATTGATGGACTGGCTGAAATCTAACCAGATGGATTTTGGCACTTAATAGCTTGTCTCTCCTTTCGCGGGCGGGGCACATCATCCCGTTGGTCGGTGCATGAATCAGCATCAAGCATCATGTTATGGGTTCTCTCTTTTGGAGGTGTAGTTCATGCACAGCCCGCAGTAATGTTCAGTCTTTGCTAATCATCGTCAGATTTTTTATGCAGGAGATTGGAATAGACGTCGTCTTTCGCGACCCAAAGTGGACTACAACCACTGTCCTAGTCGCCCCTCCAACAATTCCAAAGCAAGTTTTAGGCAGCCGTGACCAATTTGAATCGGCTCTATCAAGAGCATATGCTGCAGTTCTATGGACAGGTGTGTTATGACTTCTGATTGATCTGTGCAGATGCAGTCAACTAACGTAGACTAAAAAGGCGGACAGCTCGGTGCCGACGGCGGCGGGTTCGATCGGAAAAATGAAAATACCACCATTTCACAGCAGATTCTGCAATGGCACCTTGGTGTAAGGTCAAAAATCATTCGATAGTGAATTTCATGGCTGAGAAATAGATCATCCAGATAAACTTATGGCCCGTAAGGATCCTCTTGCATGTGGGAATTGTGCATCACCAACCAAATGATCTAGCTTGCATTTGCGCTCACCTGCTCTCTGCTCATGTTGGCGCTATCAATGCGCGTGACAAATGGGATGTATGAGCGGAACTATACAATGCCTATCAATAGCGCTGGCATTCTCCAAATCATGTGGCTTACTACGAACCGCTTCCGTGTATTAAGAGACCTCGCGAGCGACGTCGAGGATCCCCAAGAAGATATCCTTCGTGCAGCTGGGATGGTCGATGTGGACCTGCTACGAGAGTTGGATGACGTGCAAGTAGGTGATTGTTAACAGCTATTCCCGTGTTCCACTGCAGGGCCGCCGTCAGCAACAATATGGGAGAGTTCGCTAGGATACTTGTTGGCAGCTGTGCGAAGGAAATAAGGAAGTTCAAGGAACGGCTTGAGGCGGGTATTTTGCGAGATTGAAAGGTGGTCCCATGTGGAGAAGAGAGGAGACGGAGAGAGACCAGCATGATTGAGTGCGTTTTCAATGAATAAGACGGACTGTGTGACCAGGCCATGTATTTATGATAAAATGTAATCGGTTCTCATGATGAAAGTAATGTAGAGCACACTGAATGACAGTGGTGGGTTTGCTGCAACGTCTTGTTCTCGAAACAGCTGGTCTCTGCTAAGGCTCTGTTTTGAAAGACGCTGGATTCAATCAATATCATGGATGTTTGTCTACTACGCGCGTAGTGACACACGCAGACACCTCTCGCAAGGATTTGAAATCGTTAAGAAACGTAGTCCAAGTAAACAACGACTGTTGACCTAAACAAATGCAACGCTACTCAAACAACACGATACAAGAAAACCACGCCTATCATAGGTATCACCTATTCGCCTCACACCAAACTCATGGCAAAAGTCTCCCCTTCTCGTTGCTGACAACATGCTACATGCCGTATTCGTAAGTCAACCGAACGCAGCACACATTAAAGCGACTCACCACTTCACGAACAGGAACATATGTGTCCCGCCTGCGCTTGAACCATGACAGAACAAACACACCAAGGAGCAAGAATACTGAGAATGCAGCGAACAGCATGTTCATGCTCTCAGTAGCAGACGTGATGCCGAAGTAGCCGCTATGGATTCCACACGCAGATTCCCATTGTTTTTGGCTCGAGATAGCAAAGTTCTGGAAAACTTATGAGTGCGAGCCAAACACGACGTGCACAAAACTTACCTCGAGGCGATACAAGAATTCTGTTACCGCTATGTCTCCTTGGTGACCGAAAACAGGATAAGTCTGGAATTCGTCGTCGGTCCCGTTCTTGAACTTGATACGGAGGAATTCGCGAAGTTCAGGTGGAGGTCCACGAAGAATCTCAAAGGCAAGTGCAGATGCATGGTTCGCTGTAGTGATGCAAATATCGAGTCGTTGTAAGGTTGCCTGAAGTAGAACACTCACGAATAGCAGCGAGCTGAGGGTGCTCATTGACTAACTCCAACATGTGGAACAGCGAGATGAATGGCTGGTAACTCGTCTCAAGGAGAAGCAACCTCAAGGGGTCCTCGTCAAAAGTGATTCGTTGAAGGGTGTGAAGAATGGTGTTAAGGATAGTACGACCAGCAACTAGGCAGGAGATTAGTTGCAAACCACGAGAGCTAGTGGCACACACTATTTCCAATTCCACCAGTTTCCTTATCCGAGAAGATCGCGTTTTCGTGGTAGTTAGCATATCCATGGGCCTGCTCAATGAAAGTTGGCGGAAGACGGTACGCATAGGTTTGGTTGTGCGTAAGTTGCGCGTTAATGAAGTCATAGATCTACATGGAATATTACATTAAATGACCATGAGAATGCTGCGTGTTACATACATTCCACTGTCATAGGGCGATCAGAACGAGTAAGGACGAAACGAAAGAATACGTACAGCGTTTTCCAAGGCCGTAGACCTCCCGAATACGTAGTCGCGAACGGCGCCAAAGAAAGGTCCTGAAGATTTCACTGTCTCCTTGAATCCCTCAGACGCATACACGCTCTTGATGTGCTGCTCGAATGCCTGTATACCACCCGAATCAGCCTTCCGCGGACCCCTAGAGGCACGTAACTCACCGGACACTCAGTCCAGGACTCGAGCGCGCGGTCAACGTTGCTCGGGGCCATTTCGACTGGAATGTACTGGTAACCCCCGAGCGGAGTGACAATTTCCGTCCCGTTGGCGAGGTGGATCAGGTTGCCAGAATTTGGCGGGAAGAGGCCTTGCAGGACGGCTATGGCACTATCAAAGACTGCAGTGCCTTCCCCACCAGCCTTGGCATGGACAAGTACTTGATCATTCTGCACGAGGTCAGCACGAATGCCTTGGATGTGCGACGGGGAAGAGGGGTTCAGGTACGTCGATCTCAAATAGCAGCCAAGCTGGTGTGATTCTACCTAAAGTCATATGTTAGGCAGCGAGCGCGAAGAATGAGGTAGACATACAGCGCCGAGAGGTGTGGACTCGGTATAAGAGGGCTCGTAGGTATACGGATCTTGGTAAAACTCCGTGCGGTCACCGTTGCGGGCGATAATGAGGACACCATGAACATCAGGCATTGCAAGTCGTTAGTGTGGTTGGTAAATTACCTGGCAGGAGAGAGGGAATTAGATGTAGAGGTTCGGTTTGGGCCGATCTCCCCCAGGTCGCTTTAAACCTCCTCAATACACACGGCCATTCAGATCTACCGAACCGAATTAATAGGCGACACGCGGCTATTTGTTTGACACAATATTGCATCCAGTTGAAGCGTGCGGACCATAGAACAAGAGGCGCACATGCATGAAATGGAAGAACATCTCATGAGAGCCCCTGGATGATACTGCTTCTGTCCATCTCAGACTGCCGACTAGTCTTTTCCAGTGCTAAAAGGTCATTTGAAGAGATCAAAAACAGCATATCGGGGGGCTGCGGGAGGAAAATTGATGGATGGGTCAATACAAGACAGACACGCACCAAACGCATGCTGGCGATGTGATAGCCACGTCACGCAGATTAAGGCCGCCGTGCGTCAACCACGTGCCTGATCATTCTGCGAGCTTTGGGACGCACTCCAAGTCTGTCGATCCTGTAAACCAGCACGGAATCAGACGTGTAATTCATAGAGCGTACGCCATCATGTCTAGGTCTAGGTCATATCGTTGTATTTCAAGATACGACAGTCTTGATGTCGAGGCTCTGTGAGAGACTCGGAAGAACCATCGGCACGTGTGATCGGTGAGGCGGATAATGTAACTGCATGTTCGATTAGATGACAAAGGTGAATAACGTGCGGGTTTGGTGCGGAGGCTTATTACGTTGCCACTGGATGGACCAAGGGTATATTAGGACGGCGGTGATACGATAACGTGCTGCGACCCTCTTCTTCGATTTGATTCGTATCGCAAAAGTCTAAGAGTCACAGTTTTGCATATCAGATTGAAAGGTGCGATCGAAGCTAGCAGACCCTTTAGTACGAAGGCAGGAGCTATCACGAATGCGGATGAGGAATGCGCCAAAGCCCTAACGAGCCCATACTTCCTGCATTACCACTCACAGCATGACATCGATGGCTATACAACTTCGCAAAGAATACCCTATCACCACGGATTCCGCTTCCCAAAATAATTGTAAAACTTGCCCGCATCAGAGTTTCGTCACGATGTCCAGAATGTTTGTCAGAGACATGTGGCTTAGCTCGATCACCGCACCCTTGCTGCCCATGTCTTTACCCAATCGGGAGGATGGGGATAGAGTGGGGACGCTCACGCATTAATGTTGCTCGTATGTCTATTGCGTGGCCGATCGATAGCAATGGTAAGAGGAAGTATAGATCAAAAAAACAGCGCGAAAGAATTCATTCGTGAAAACAAAAGATAACAGTTAATAATCTTGCAAAAAGTAATTAATGAGATCGCCTACAAGCATGTTAAGTCCCACCTTTCAAGTTGCTGATACCATAGCTAGCGGACCCGAGATCTTTGTTGATACTGACAAGAGAGAATCTCATGTTGATAATAACTTTGCGGCCACTATTCTGATGGCTGCGAGAAGCGTTGTAACCAGTGCTAGACCTGTGACATTGTATTTGATTGTCTCTGCAAGCACAGCTGGATCGAAGCTAAATAGAAGTCTCTACCAGGATTCTGCAGTCCCAGAATCACCATACAACCTGTAAAAGGTAGCACAGGAAAACGCACGATCGCAGCATTATTAATGATATAGTCCGAAACCCAGTGCCGTTGAGAAGCTCGAGAACTTTTTAACGCCGAGTCTTGATACTGCCTTCGTTCATTACGTCGATTTAAACGACATGGAAGATTCCAGGGCTGGATTTGACGGCATCAAGGCCAAGGGTTATCGCAGGGGAGCAACAGGTGATAGACACAGTGTTGGAAGATGATTGTAGGAGCTGTCAAGGCCAATTCCCTGGAGTGCACTGGACGCATTAAGATAAGGGACTGTTGTCACCGCACAGGTAAACGATCAACTTTAAGTTACGCATAGCCAGTGAGAAACCACGTAATTACTGGCATGATTTTAACAAAATAATGTTGGCTTTAGCTGAAGGACACAGCTGCAGGGACTTGTAAGGAAGAGACGGAAATTCGAAATATAGTAAGAATCAAGAGATTCCCGAATCGTGGTGCATCTGTGCCACAATGCAGTGTATATGGACCGCGGGAAGAACTGCTTACTAAGTAACAGGCATTTCGTCACTTTGCCAGCGAGTCTAAGTAGGTCTAAGTATGCGACTGCGACGCGACAATGGACACTACTGCACTCAAAGTTTGGCTTCTTGATCAAAGTCAGTATATTTTCAGTGATATGATAAATGTCTTCTCACCTCCCGAAATAGTCAATAGCTGTCCCTGGCAGTATACACTTCTGCTCTCTCTCGGTGCTCTAACATTTGCACGTTTTACGTTCAAAACTCTTGTCGTATTCTTTCAAACCTTCATTCTCTCTGGGACAGATGTATGTGGATCATAGAACACATGTCTTTAGTCTTCCGATGAACCTGACTTGCCTTACTGCAGCTCAAAAAGTTTGGTGCTAAGAAGGGAGCATGGGCAGGTCAGTAAGGCGACTTCTGCTAACGTGCAACTCTCACTCATTCATTCCAGTTGTCACGGGTGCTTCGGATGGCATTGGGAGGGAATTCGCGATTCAGCTAAGTTCAGCGGGGTTCAACGTCTTGCTCATCGCACGGAATGCCAAGATGTTGAACGACGTGGCAGTCGAGATTGGTATGAGTTCTTCATATCGGTATTTTTCAAAGCTTCACATCTCTTCTAGCTACGAAAACAAAATCTGCAGTTGAAACTAAAATCTACCTTATCGACTTTGCCCAAAACGACGACCTCAAATATGATGGCCTGAAAGCTCTCCTTCATACTCTCGATGTTGGTGTCCTCGGTGCGTGCTCAGTAGCATTCTTAAGCTTCTGTTTTTGACACAGCATAGTGAACAACGTCGGAAAATCCCACGCCATGCCCACTTATTTTGCTGAGACTGTGGAACAAGAAAATGCTGACATCGTTGCCATCAACGTGAATGCGACAATCCGCGTCACGCATGCAGTTCTCCCTGGTATGATTCAGCGGTGAGTTATTTAACCTGCATCTCACCTCTATAACTCCAATGCGAATGCACTTAGGAAACGTGGCTTGGTCCTCAACATCGGCTCCTTCGCAGGTCTCGTGCCTTCTCCAATGCTAGCGACATACAGTGGTACCA